TGATTCCAATGTAAGGTGTCGAGATAGCCTGAGGGTCAGCAGTAAGGGGTCAATGAACTGGGGGGCTTCGCACACTCAATTTTTTGTTACTCTTTGAACTATTGTTTTGGGACAACAATCAGAACTATTTAATCCATCCAAATGTGTTCATATAGTGAACACGGTCCTCTTATGCTCTAGAAGCCAACCATTTTAAGAGAAGTGAATAAAAATAAATAAATAAAATGGATTTTTAAAAAGTTTACTTTGTATGTTAAATATTTACAACTCAAATACATTTTCTCACAGAAACAATGCTATAAATGATGTTAGATGTTCAGATTTAATTTTTTAGAATATATGAAATTAGTCAAATCATATAATTTGTGGAAATAAAAATTTGAAGTGAAAAACAACAGAAAACAATATTATGCGATTCTAAAAATTAAACCAATGAGATAAAATTGAAAAAAGAAAAAAAAGAGAGAGAAGTGAATAAAGAAACATAGGCAGAATGGCCCCTAAGAAAGAAATCTCATAATTTTCATACCTTGTTTGTCATCACCAGTCACATCTTGCGTTGGAACAGGAAAGTCATCCATGTCTTTAATAGAGAGCTTCTTAGAAAAGAAAAGGAAATTAATTACACAGACTGGAATAGATATTAAGTGGTGAGCACATGATGAAAATGTTTTAAAGCTATATATCTTGCCAGTATTTCTATCTTCAGTAAACTCTGACATTTTTTAGGTTCCTAGTGAGGTATAAGTTAATTTATATTGAAAAATTTATATGCACACAGGAAAAAAATAACAATTCAGATTGAGGCATATGTATATAGACCACACATTAAATCTGAATCCGGAGTGGCATTTGGTCAAAGAATTGTGCGGCATTTGCCCATTCAGTCAAGAACAAACCTATATTTTATGTACTTTTTCATAAGCAGAGAGAGGTTCTGACAAGTGGCCCTAAATGTGGGCATTTGCCAGTGTCTGTTATGCAGAGGGTATTCTACCCCGATTCAAATGTAATGGCTAGATGGAGAGCCAGAGGAAAGAAACAGCAATTAGGAGGATCGTTTTACAATATATAAGTGTCTAACCAATGTACTGTATACTTGAAACTAATAAAATAAAATTTTTAAAAAACAGCCTGCTTGTCATGTTACAAAAATTTTTCTGATGAACAGACCAAAATTTTCTCCTAACTCACTTATGGGGAAAGTCTTCGCTTATACTGATAAGTTATATACCCAAATTGATCAAATGTTGATTAGTTTAAAATTCTGTTTAAAAATCTACTTACTATAAATTTATGTCTTATAAAGTTTCAATTAACATGCGCTCTAAGACCTCTGATAAGATTAAAGAATATAATTCATATTTGCTATATAAACATATTCTAAAGAGATAAAAATTGAAGGGTGACTGGGTCGAGGAAAAGGATGGGAGGAGGACTTGTCACTATATGCCTTTTGGTACTCTTTTTATTTTCAACATATTCAAAAAAATCAAATAAAGATAAATTTTAAAACTTAAAGGAGAGATATTCAAGATGGCGTAGACGGCTGTACATGCCTCCTCTAGCAACCACACCAAAATTATAACAAAACTACAGGGAAAAGAGTACGCGGAGTCGCCAGAGGCCTGGCTGAACAGAAGTCCTACAACTAAGTCACCTCGAAATGGTAGGCAGAGCAGAGACACCATACAGCCGGCCACAACATCAAGTGACAATGGAGAATCAGGAAGGTTACCTTGGCTGCAGAGTCACCTACCCCACCCGAGGAGCAAAGGGTCCTGGTCACACACTGGGATCCCCAGCTCAGGGTTCTGGCGCCAGAAGAGAAGTCCCCACAACCTCTGACTTGAAAATCAGCAGAGATTGTGGAGCAGTGAGACAAAGGGGCCACAGGAAGTGGAGATCTTCCTCTTAAAGGGCCCACACCCCGCCTTACTCGCTGACATACTTGATCGCTCTGAGCTCTAGCGCCAGGCAGCTGCTCAACAGGCGCCATGGACACAGAGGGAGGTGCTGAGCTGTTGGGCTTCAGGGTGAGGTCCAGAGGGGTGTCTGGCTCCCGGACAAAGGTTCAGGCAAAAGCCATTGTTCCTTTGTTGAGCCGTCCCCTCTCCCAGACTGCAGATACAGGCACCGCCAACCTCGATAACACAGGTCGCTCCACCCAGGAGAGTCCCTGAGACTCCGCCTCCCCCAGTTGATGGGCCCACCCAAGCTGCTTCCAGTGATTTTGTTCCCTACAAATGGGCTGTGTTGGCTCCTGCTGCGAACTTTCATAAAATCTCTCAAAGGCTCACAAAACCCAAAGCGGCAGCATCTGGCCTCGGTGTGCCCTGTATCTCTTGTTGAGCAGTCCCAATGCCGCCACTAACAGCAGCCAGCCTGCTTTGGACTTGACCCTTTATGGCACCTATAAGCCCAGCATGGGTGGCAGCCATCTGTGGATTGTTTGGAGACTCTTACCAGGTAGCCCCGGAGGTGCCCAGGCTGCGGATGAACTTGGCCTACAGTTGGATCCCTCTCAGGTACGTACCAAGGGACTGCCCAGCCCAGCACACCTACCACATAAAGTCATTCTACTAAGACGAGAGACTTAGGAGCCCTACCTAATACATAGAAATAGACACAAGGAGGCAGCTAAAATGGAAGACAAAGAAACATGTCCCACTTGAAAGAATAGAACAAAGCTCCAGAAAAAGAATTCACCAAAACGGAGACAAGCAATGTACCAGATGCAGAGTTCAAAACACTGGTTATAAGGATGCTCAATTAACTTAGAGGAAAAAGTAGATGGACTCAGTGAGAACTTTAACAGAGATAGAAAACATAAAAATGGAGATGGAAATTATAAAAGGGAATTATAAAATTTCAGTCAGAAATAAAGAATACAATATCTGAGATGAAGAGTATATTAGAAGGAATCAACAGAGTAGAGGAAGCAGAGGATCAAATCACCCTTATAGAGGATGGGGAAGTCAAGGACACCCAATCAGAACGGCGACAAGAAGAAAGAATCCAAAATAATGAAGATAACATAAGGAGCCTCTGGGACAACATCAAATATAACAACATATGCATCATAGGGGTACCAGAAGGAGAAGAGCAAGAAGTTGTAAATCTATTTGAAAAAATAATGATGTAAAATAGACATATAAGCTCAGGAAGCTCAGAGAGTGCCAAACAAGATGAACCTAAAGAGGCCCACACCAAGACACATAATTAAAATGCCAAAGGTTAAGGACAAAGAGAATCTTAAATATCAAGAGAAAAGTAGTTAGGAAGCACCCATAAGACTGGCAGCTGATCTCTCAAAAGAAACTTTGCAGGACAGAACAGTTGGCACAAAATATTCAAAGTGATGAAAACCCATGATCTACAACCAAGATTAGTTTATCCAGCAAAGCTATCATTTAGAATCAAAGGACAGATAAAGAGCTTCCCAGACAAGAAGAAGCTAAAGGAGTTCATCATCACCAAGGCAGCATTATAGGAAATGTTGGAGGAACTTTAAGATGAAGAAAAAATATGTATCAAAAATATGAATAAAGAATGGCAATAACTATATATCTATTTACAAGTACTTCAAATGAAAAAGAATTAAGCGCTCCAATCAATAGAGAAAGTAGCTGAACGGATAAGAAAACAAGACCTTTACATATGCTGCCCACAAGAGACTCACTTCAGATTAAAAGGCACACACAGACTAAAAGCAAGGGGATGGAAAAAGATATTGCAAGATGGACCTAGAG